AAATAATTTTATCAATTATACTCCATCAATGTCCAAGAGTTTCTACTTCTCAACATCTTTGCCAATACTTAGTATTTCTTGTTTATTTTTATTTGCATTTTCATAACGAGAAAGCTTGAAAATTTTTCCATATTTATTGCTCATTTTAGCTTCTCTTATATAATTCTCTGCCTATTTTGCTGCAGGGTAATTGTTTTATATATTCTGCATACTAATCTTTCTTTGGCTATGTGCATTGAAAACATCTTCTCCCATCTGCCTATAGCTTATCTTCTCACACTGTTATATCTGGGGTTAGAATGAAGTTTTCAATTTTAATGCAGTTCAACTTAGCAATCCTTTAATGATCTGTGCTTTTCGTATCTTAAAAAATCCATTCTCATACTTAGAACATAAATATATTCTATATTTCTCCTAGAGCTTTAATGGTTTGCTTTCCTAATTGGGTCTCTAACTCGCAGTTATTTCACATATATAACCAATTCTCTCTTTTCCATTTTCCCCACCACTGCTCTGTAATGTTCCTGCAGAGATAGATCAAATTTCCATATATGCATGGGTCTGTTTCAGGAAGTTCTACTCCATTTCATTAGGCACTTAATCTATTCCTGTCCTAATACTGTGTTTGATATCTGAAGACTATCATATTAGTCTCCTTCAAAATTGTCTGATATTCCTGGCACTTTGCTATTACATATGAACTTTTAAGTCAAGTTAAAAAAAAAACACCCTGTTGGTATTTTGATTAAAACTGCATTAAATTTATAGACTAATTTGGAAAGAATTGACTTATGATACCAAGTTTTCTCCCCCAGAGAAGATTTGCATTTGTTTTTGCAGGTACCTGGCAGTACTATCAACCTGGATCCAATTTAAAACTGTTGGCTACATGGTTTTGAATGTGTGAACTTGGGCGCCACACATGCATGAAGACTGACTTGCAGTTAGACACTCACTGAGGAGATTTTCTGACGCCCGTTTACCAATGTCATGGTCTACATGAACAAGGTGGTATATTTCCAGATCACCTTTATGCTGTAAGTATAGCTCTTTGGAGTCCCAGCCTTATGCAGAGTTTTCTACTAGACTCCTCATTTTCAACTGGCCATAGAATTAAGTCTCCTGTCCACTATAACTAAGTCTCCTGTCCACTATAACCCCTTACACATACTGAAAAATAAGCTCAAGGTCACCTGCACTTGGCTGATGCCTCCAGGGTAAAAGCTAGCTGAATACCTATTTACTACTTTGCATTCTAGCATCTACTTCATTTTTGGCCCTAGGATTCCTTTCTTTCTTATCAGTTCAATTCTATATTTTTAAAAATATGTTAAAAATCTTATCCTGCATTTCTATTTTCAGGTGAAAGATTGTCCAGTATAGTTTAAAATCTTGTGTAGCTTAATTTTTATCTACTTGATTTACTAGTTTGGGACGGAAGTGTATTAAAATCTCTCACTATAATTATAGACTTGTAATTCCATATCTGTTTTGTGCTTGTTTTTGTTGCTGTTGTTGTTTTTTTAAATATACAAATTTCAAAATGTATACGAAAGTTCTTCGTTATTATATTAGTTGATTTTTCCTTTCATTAATATGTACTGTTGCACTTTATCCTTATTAAAGCCTTTAGTCTTCCATCTGTCAATGATGATAATCTACATTAGTTTTCCATTTTTGGGCAGTTTCAGTTTTGGTATCTCTACAATGACTATATAGATGATTTTGGTTTTTATTCAAATTGCTGTCTCCATGTCTTTTAATGAAGAATATCAATTCATTTATACTTACTGTGAACTACTTATATACTGGGTCTATTTCTACTTCTTGTTTTCTACTTAACATTCCTTTCCTTTGTTTTATTTATTTATAGCTGTCCCATCTTCCACTGAACTGATCATGTCTTCAATATTCCCTCTCCCCCCCACTCATACTGCTTTGGAAGCTAGCTATACACTGAATGTCTACTATTTCAGTCACCTTTAATTTAGAACTTTTTCATTGTATATATTTAATTATATATTGTTCTGAAAGAGTCTGAAATTATTTCATATTTCTATCTTCTTCCTGAACATGACATGAATCTTACCATATTACACACAACCTATTTGTTGTTACTATCTAAAGCTACGCTGTCCAGTTTGGTAGCCATTAGCTACATGTGGCTTTCCAATCTTTGGTATGTGGCCAGTATGAACTGGGTGGTGCTCTAAGTGTAAAACACTGGATTTTGAAAATTTAACATTAGAAAATGAAACTAAAATATCTCAATAATTTTTTTTAATGATGACATGTTGAAATGATAATATTTTAGTCCTACTGGGATAAATAAAACATTACTAAAAATTAATTTCATGTTTTTTCCTTTTTAATGTGACTACCAGAAAATAAATCAAGACTTTAGTTTTAACTTTGTTTTAAATGTATTCCCCCAAACCTAAATTATTATCTTTCTGCCAGTAATAATAACATTTATCATTTCACCTAATTAAATTCTTAATTATGAAATAATAGTTTACCTGGATATGATATGGCATTGGACATTATTTTCCCTTAGTATTTAAGATACTACTTCAGAATCTCCTAGCATCAATTGTTGCTGATGAGAAACCTTCTGTTATAATGTTGAATTATACCTCTGTAGGTAATCTGGCTTCTAACTTTGGTGGCTTTTAAGATTTTCTCTTTACCTTTGATATTCTGGTTTTACTACAACCTGTCAAAATGTAGATTTATCTTTATTTAACCTACTTGACATTCTAGAGTTTACTTTAGTTCAAGGATTCAGGACCTTTTTTAATGCTAAAAATTCTCTACCTTTGTGTCTTCAAAAATTAGTTCTCCACCAACCTTTGCATCTTCTTTTTCTGTAATTCTTATTATATACACATTGGAGACTTCAATTAATCCTCTATGTATTTTAAGTACTCTTAGTATTTTTGAACCCATTAATTCTCTCATCAATGGTGTAAAGGATAAAATTTATCCCATCTTTAAGTTTTTTTATATACTAGAATATTTTTAATTTCTAAAAGTTGTAGTTGGTTCTTTTCCACAGTAATCTGCTCTTGTTTCAACTCTTTTGTTTCATAATTTTGAGTTCTCTTTAAATGGAAAGTATCAGTTAACTTATTTCTTTGAACATCCTAAAAATGCTTTAAAGTTTCTTCCAATCAATGGAATACTATGCAGCCGTTAAAAAGAATAAGATCATCCCATGGGTACTAATATGGAATGATCTCTAAATGTTATTAAATGGAAAAGCCGAAGTATATAATTGTGTGTAGAGAATGCTACCATTTATATAAAAGTGTATGTATGTGTGTGTATATGCTTGTACATGCATAGACTATCTCAAAAAGGATAGCAAGAAACTGGTAATAGTGGTTGCCTCTGGGGAGGGGAACTGGGTGGCTAGGGGACAGAGGTGGGAGATAGACTTACTTTTCACTGTTTACCCTTTTGTACCTTTGAATTTTGTACCACGTGCATGTATTACCTAGTCAAAAAAAAATAAATAATTTATTTTTAAAAATAGTCTTTGTTGGACTACTCCATAAAATTAATTTCATCCAGAAAATATGCTTGTTTTAGTTGCTGAATTTGTTATGATATGAATATTAGATGTCTTCATGAGTTTTAGAATTTTGGTTATAGGCTTATTTTAAGAAAGGTTTTAAATCATTTTTTTCCTCTTTCCTATTTAATGGTTTTATCATTGCCCCAACTTGGATTTCTGAACCCCTAATCCATAGTTAGGCCTTATAATAACATTAAGGCCTTCAGTTTCATGATAATATTGGAGCTATCAGACATAAGCATTCAATCACTGACTCAGTAATGGCTTCATTCATTTCCTGGCCATGAGGTTGTGTCTTAATCAGCCAAAACCCATGGCCTCAGGTAGTGAATAACTTTTTCCTTTTTTCAACCTTTCACAAATGGGACAGGCATTCTAGCTAGTGCACTGTGTAGTAATTCTGACTCTGGTCCCTGCCTCTTATGAAGCACTTTAGTACTTTTGATTCTCGACAGGAATTAAAATTACTACACATAAGTACCAGACTCAAAACCCAGTGAGCCTTTGGTTTCAGCCCTATAATAGCTTGTGTCTATGTTCCATTTCTGGCCCACAAAAACATATATATTGTTTCAAAGCCTGGCTATATCTTTTGTGCTATTTATTCTATTGTCCTATGTGTTTAGAGCATAGAGGTTACATCAAAATTCAGTATATTGCTGTAACTAGAAGTAATTTCCCAGTATCTTTTTTTTAACATTAGAAGTAATTAGTAAAAAAGGAATATAATCTTACTACATAATGTTTAGAAAACAAAATTACTCATTATCCACTCATTCTAATCCACCCCATGTTAGCATTGAAAAATATTTCCTTATCTTCTGCATGTCATATTTGTAACAATTTTTATCATGATTTTAACCTATATTGTCCCAAGCATTTGTCCATGTTGATATGTAGTCCCTGTGACCATCATTTTAATGACTGCATATTAATCCACCAAGCTGTTCAACTGTTATTTACTTCCCACATTATTGAGAATTTAAGGTGCTTCCAACACGCTTTTAGAAAGTTCTCTGTGCAAATGTGTTCTTTTCCCTCAACAGTTTAGATTTGAGGGATGAAGGTGAGAGAGGCTTAGCAATGGGACTACCATAATTCTACACAGATCATTAGCCCAAAGACATTGCAAGACTATCATAATACATGGCTGAGGTTCATAATGATGACCCTGATATATGAAGAGAAAAGGTAAAATCATATGTAAGTAAAAAAAGGCATTTCAGAAAGATTCTAATCCAAAATGGTTAATATAGCAAGTTTTGTAATTAAAGGGATAAGATTCATAAGGGATAAAATTCATAAATCATAAATTCATATCTAGCACTGCTGGGCAAGAAATTACAAATTTTCATTAACTTCCAAATTAGAATATTTTGTGTCATACTAATAAATTTCATTATTTCACTAAAATACTAACCTGATATTATTTACACAGTCTTCATGAGCTTCAGAAAGTGTTTTTATGTGCTTTGAAGATATAGGGTCAAAAAGCAGAACTTCAGTCTGTTCACAAGCAACAGTCAGCACCGACCTGAAAGCAAAGGACACATTTAGTTTTCTAGCATTCTCTTATTATTGATATGCACACTTATAATTACACAAACTATAACGCATAACTTCTTTTTGCCCATGTTAAAAGCAAGTATTTGTAAGATTGAAACTATCCTTTTTTTTTTTTTAAGATTTTATTTATTTATTTGACAGAGAGAAAGCACAAGTAGGCAGAGCAGCACACAGATTGAGAGGGAAAGGCAGGCTCTCCACTGAGCAGGACCCTGGGATCATGACCTGAGCCCAAGGCAGTCACTTAACCGACTGAGCCACCCAGGTGCCCCGAAGCTATCTGTTCTTGACAACACTAGGAAATGGACTCTCAAAATTATGGTGGAGCATAAACGGATACAGCTCAGATTTGGAGAGTACCCGTATCTATCATGTGTATACCTTTTGATATGTGTACCTTCTGACTCAGCAATTTTTTTCTGGGAATTTAATCTAAAGAAATAACCATTTATAAATACAAAGAAGCATATATAAAGATATACCTCACCATAATGAGAAATTGAAAGTGACCTAAATGTATGTGAAAGAAGGAATGATTGATCATTTAAGCCATGGTATGTAATACTCTGCAATATCATGCAATGTTTAAAAAGATAGGGATCGTTTCATATGGATATGAAAGAACTCCAAGACGTTTTAAAATTTTTTTTAATTTTTGGAGAGAGAGAAATAGAGTGCGTGTGTGAGAGAAAGCTGGGGGGTGGGGGTGGGGAGGAGCAGAGGAAGAGGGAGAGAGAGAGTCCCAAGCAGGCTCCATGCTTAATGTGAAGCCCAATACAGGGCTCGATCTCAGAAGAAAGCAAAAGCAAGAGTCAGATGCCTAACCAACTGAGCCATCCTGGCACCCCCAAAACGTATTTTTAAATGAGGAAAGCTGGTTGTAAAAAACATGCACAGATGAGGCAACTTAGGAGAAAAAGTCATATATGACAAATTATATATTTCTTTTTTAATTTTTTGACAAATTATATATTTCTTTATCAGTATCTATTAAAATGTACTGAAAAGGGTTTGGCATATATCTTACCAAACCAGTTGTAAACCAGTTAGTTACAATCAAACTTATATATCATGTCCTTTATGCTTTCTAGTATTGTCTCTTGTTTCAGCACTTTCCCATTACAAAGCTATATTATTATAAACCTTTTATAAGCCACATTTTGATTTCTGAAAGTCAACTGTTTTTTATTTATTTTTAAGTCTTAGTTTTTTGTGGACACTGCTCTTTCAGATTCAGATCTAGCAAATGAAATCCTGAGTCTTGAAACTGTAGGCCTTCCCAATTTATAGTTCCAATAACAAATGGAATTTGTTTATTTAAGAGGAAAATAATGAGACAGGATTTAAAAAAAATTTTTTTTTAACTTCTCTCTATACCCAGTGTATGGCTCGAATTCACAACCCCAAGATCAAGAGTTACATGCTCTAACAACTGAGCCAGCCAGGTGCCCCAAAATAGATTTTTTTTTCTTTTTTTTAAAGATGTTATTTATTTATTTATTTGACAGAGAGAGATAGTGAGACAGGAAACACAGCAGAGGGAGTGGGAGAGGGAAAAGCAAGTTCCCCACAGAGCAGGGAGTCCGATGCAGGGCTCGATCCCAGTACCCCAGAATCATGACCTGAGCCAAAGGAAGACACTAACGACTGAGCCACCCAGCAACCCCCAAGACAGAATTCTAAAAAGCCAAAAGTTTCTATTCAGAACAAACTTTTTAGATAAAGTGTGAGAGGGGAAAAATCTAAATTAAAGTATTTTCCATATTTAGTAGTCATGAAATTGTCCTTTAAAAGGTGTCTGCTCCGCATAAACCCTTTTTGGAAATATCTGGACTTCAAAACTTGAGTATCTGAAGGATTTTTGTGCTAGTTGACCAGCATGAGTAAAAATTAGTATCCGTAATTTTAGAAGATAATAAACAGCCATCTCTTGTTGTTTCTCACAAGAGTTATGGAATGAACTTTACTCCTTTTTGTGCATAAAAGTGAATCAGGGGTGCCGCTGGCTCAGTTGGTTAAGTGTCCAACTCTTGTTTTCGGCTCAGGTCATAATCTCAGGGCTGTGAAATTTAAGTCCCACAGCAGGAGGAGCAGGGTCCTCTGTGCTGGGCATGGAGCCTGCTTAAGATTCTCTCTCTCCCTCCTCCTCACCATCCTCTACTCTCTCCCTTTCTAAAACAATCAAACAAACAAAGTAAATGAATTAGTGATTCTGGGAGAGTCTTGTTAAGTAAGAGGTGTATAAAACTGACAGTCATTTGTTTTAATACAATCTATTTTTGTACATGGCCTGATTTGTAACTTTTTAAAATGAGTATCATTTGTCCCAATATCAAGCCTATACTTTTCTCATTGGTTTGAAATGTGACCTTGATCACATATGCTGTTTTTTTGGATGCTATATCCTATTCTTTGCAATACCACCATACTATTTTAATTTCTAGAAGGTTTTATATATGTAAAGCAAGATGAACATTGCTTTATGAACATTTTTTCGGATGGCTAATATTATACTTTCTTAATGTTTTCTGAACATTGGGGGTGGGTGGGGGGCTAATAGTATGCTTTGTCTTCTAAATGAATTTTAGATATGGCATGTCAGATCCTACCAAAAAAATCTTGTTCAGGGGCCGCCTCAGTGACTCAGTTGGTTAAGCAACTGCCTTCAGCTCAGGTCATCATCTTAGAGTCCCGGGATCAAGTCCCACATCGGGCTCCCAGCTCCATGGGGAGTCTGCTTCTCCCTCTGACCTTCTCCCCTCTCATTCTCTGTCTCACTTTCTCTCTCTCAAATAAATAAATAAAATCCTTAAAAAAAAAAATCTTGTTCTTATTTTTACTGGGATGCACTGACTTTACAAATTTGGTAGAATTTATATCATTTAATATTGAATCATCCCATCAGTAACATGTCTACCTTCCCACATATTTGAGATTTTCATAGCATGAGTATCTTAGCAAATCTTGGACCTTTAAACATCCTTATACATTTCAAATCAACTTACCAAGTTACGTACACACACTCACATACAAATCCAGCTATGATTTTGAGACTATGATAAATCTATAGAAGAGTTTGCATAGGGAGCACCTAGGTGGCATAGTGGGTTAAGTGTCTTGACTCTGGCTCAGGTGGTGATCCCCAGGACCCTGAGATCAAGCCCGACTGAGGCTCCTTGCTCACTGGGGAGTCTGTTTGTCCCTGTCCTTCTCCTTCTTCCCTCCGCCCATACCCCTACTTGTGCGCCTTTGGTCTCTCTCTCTCAAATAAACAAAATCTTTTTTTTTTTTTTTAAAGATTTTATTTGTTTATTTGACAGACAGAAATCACAAGTAGGCAGAGAGACAGGCAGAGAGAAGGGGAAGCAGGCTCCCCGCTGACCAGAGAGCCCAATGCGGGGCTCGATTCCAGGACCCCGAGATCATGACCTGAGCTGGAGGCAGAGGCTTTAACCCACTGAGCCACCCAGGCGCCCCTCAAATAAACAAAATCTTAAAAAAAAAAAAGTTTGCATAGAATTGAGATCATTACAATAAAAAGTCTTTCAGTTTATGTACATGGTGTGTTTTCATATACCCTGGAGATTTTCTCCATATGGGTCACACCTATCTTCTTAGATTTATTCCTGGGTATCTGACACTTTTTAATGCTTTTATTAATGTTCTTTTTAAAATTTTGCTTTCTTTGTTGTTGGTGTACAAAAATGCAAACTGGTTTTAAAATTATCCATCAATCTTGCTATTTTAATACCTTATCAGTAGGTTATTTTAGGTCTTTTTTTTTTAAGATTTTATTCATTCATTTGACAGAGTAAGCGCGAGCACAGCAGGAGGAGCAGCAGGCAGGAGAGGGAGAAGCAGGTTCAAAGAGCAGGGAGCCTAAGGAGGAGCTCAACCCCAGGACTCTAGAATCCTGACCCCAGTTGAAGGTAGATGTCCAATAACCGAGCCACCCAAGCACCATTATTTTAGATTTTCTCTGTCGATGATCATATTATCTACAAACAAATGCTTTTTTCTTTTTTAATATTTTTTGTTACTACACTCAGTTAGAACTTTCAGTATAATGTTAAATAGAAATATTAATATTAGCAGGCACTCCTGTCATGCCTGATTTTCAAAAATACATTCACCGTTTCATCATTAAGTACAATGTTTGCTGTGAAGTTTGTTTTTCTTTTTTTGGGGGGGAAGATTCCCATTACTGGATTAAGGAAGTTCTACTTCAAATTTGCTGGTTTTTTTCAGTAATGTATTTTCAATTGCATAAAACAGTTTTCCAACATTTATTAAGATTACCCTATATTTTCCCTTCAATATGTTAATGTAGCTACTTACATTGTTTTACATTCTACATTTTTCATTTCTACCATATTGCTTAATTCAGTTGGCTAAAATCGTGAGCTCACAATTCTTTTACAGATGTTGGCCCTGCAATTTACTAACTGCCATAATTCTCCAATCCCTTCAAACATAAGCTTTTTATATCTTACATTAAATATTTTTTATATATATATATATATATATTTTTTTTTTTTTTTTTTTTAAGTTTTTATTTGTTTATTTGACAGAGAGAGAGATCACAAGTACGCAGAGAGGCAGGCAGAGAGAGAGGAGGATGCAGGCTCCCCGCCGAGCAGAGAGCCCGATGCGGGCCTCGATCCCAGGACCCTGGGATCATGACCTGAGCTGAAGGCAGAGGCTTCAACCCACTGAGCCACCCAGGCGCCCTAAATATTTTATATTTTTTCTAGCTTTTCTAATTATTCTCTGTTGAAGGGTTGGCCCAAACCATCTACTTTACAACTTCTGGAAAGCTACAATCTCTGCCTCTTGCATCTGAATATTGTTTGATTTATCTGACTATTGTTCAGAATGGTAATTCTGAGTATTGTTTACTTGGGGATTCTTTTTTTTTTTTTTAAGACTTTATGTATTGAGAGAAATAGCACAAGTGAGTGGGGAGCA